CAGCATCCAGGATTCAGTTCTGAGCTCTTGATGTTCTCAAGAGCTTCCTATACATCCACATACTTGACTAGGTTTGACATCTTTCAAGTCAACACCTTAACTTCCTGCCTCATCTAAAACTGTCCATTTGAACAAAAGGTCCTTTCGAAGGATTTCTTGGTCACAGTTTGATTCCTGCTTATCTTGGTTCTCAATTTAGAAACCAATTCCAAGAACACGCCTGCACAGACGTGCTTGTTCTGGGCAATGTTATCTGTTCATTCCCTTTCTGACTTCTTAAATAGTGGCCATCAGGTGCGGAAAGAGCTCAAATTTCTGGACTACTCTGTAGTCCATAAACTAATATACAGTATAATAGTTCTTGTTGACAACTTGTCAGAATGGTAAATTAACGCATTTCATGTTCAACTGGTTAGGTTTTCAGAGTCCCTTACCTTGGAAAGCTCCTTTTCCCGAGAGCTTGGATTTACTGTGGCAGATGGGGCATCGACAACCTTCAAGGCTGGAATCCCAGTGATTGCGGAGAATGAAACTACAGTCACCCTGGATGTCAGTACAAGTCACACCTGGAGCTTTACAGAGACGGAAAGGAAACGGGTAGGTTTTCAGTCCTGGATATTCCTAAATGGAAATGCCCATTAGCTCAACGTGCTCAATTAAGGCAAGATGGTTGCAGTGAGGGGTACAGAACATACAAGTCGGTTTTCTGAATACTGAGCTATATATTGCATTCCCTTCAAGCTATTCATCTCCCAAGTTAATTGAAGTCACCCAAGAGTCTAGCAGCATCCACTCAGTACAGTAGGTTCTGAATACTTAACACTCTTTAGTTTACACCTTCCTTTTCTTGATATGATAACTGAAATGTCAAAGGTTTGGGGAATTAAACCAAAATCGCAAATTAGCTTGAATGCCCTCTGTCCAACTTCAAAATTACTATCCAAGAGGCTTAAACAAGCCCCTTTTAAATGCAGCTTCTACCTTTTCTAAATCCATATTGCTTCTCCTAGGATTCTAGTCCCAAATGGATCCTCTGGATTAGTTATTTTTGTACATCTATCCACAATAGAACTTACTGGTCCATCACTACTTCAGTTTGCTCTGTATGAAGGGGCACTACATTTAGACTTTGCTGGGAAACATGAGTAAAGGACCAGAGCATCTGCAGAGGGGTTAAAGGTTGGTAGAATGCCATCAGCCCCTGGTCACTTCTCTTCCCTTTAAGCATCTAGGAACTGTAGCCATTTGTTAATACTTTGCCCCTATCAGTATTGGTCTTCCTGAAGCATGTAAACAGCTGAATGAAATATTCAGTTACTTGGTTTCTAAATATTCCCTCTTCTCTCAAAGGCATCTCCTTGGCTTTTAGTAGTACTGAAAAAAGCCTTTTCCCTTGGGATCTTTTTGTGTGGATCTCTAATCTTGGGAGACTGTACCACAGGTTTTGGAGTTCCTACATAGGGTGGGGGGGTGTATGTCTGAAATACTTTAAAACTGTTGACTCTGTAATTTTAGTCAAATCCTTTAAAGAAAATCAGTTTTATATTTGTGTAGCATTGTTTAGTTCCTCTAATTGGAGCTAGAACTGCAAGCCTGGGTAGCTTCCTCCAGCCACTGCTTGGTAATTTCCAAAACTCCTGTGTTCACAGATAAGAGACAGAGGGGAAGAGTAGCCCCATAGTCTCATCACATAAATCAAATATGCCCCCCCCCCACAGCTTCTTGCTAATTGTACTTCCTCAAAAGTGAACATGCCAAGTGTTGACTTGCTGTCTTGCCTCCAAAGGTTGTTGACGGCTCTACCTTGAGCAGCACGGTGCCCCCTGGGAAGGCAGTGAGGTTCAAGGCTGTTGTCCAGAAGGGAACCCTGGATGTTCCTTATAAAGCGAAGGTGACCACTGTCTTTGGATATGAAACCACTATTACCGGAAGATGGATTGGAGCTTCAGTATCCAAAGTAGGAATAAAGGAAGAAATCCTTGACCTCAAAAAGTAGCCATAGATCTGGAAAAGACCTGTATGAATATATTTTTTTTTAATAAATAGGGAAAATACTAGCAGTTGGGAAGTTGTATGCGTCTCATTATCTGCTTCCTTGTGTTCCAACCAATACAAATGGTTAGAGAGTAATCCAGTTAAATACGGTATGCTATGAGTTTCTGGGTCAATGGGCAAATACTGGCAGTTGTGAAATTCACTATTTGAGGTTTTTCAGGGACT